ATAGTCTAATAATTGTAATAAATTAATAAATGAGCAAATAAATAAACATTACTTACATGCCGGTACTCTATTAATTGATGGATGGTAGAACATGGTTGAAACTACTATGTATTTTTGAATGGAGAACTCAATTCTGCTATTGTAGTTGTATGACAGTAAACGGGAAGTTCTTGAGGAGATAGATTTGATCCAATGAAGCAGAGATATGTGTGTGATTGTTTGTTGAAATGAAAGTGATGTAATATACCATTGTATTATTAAAAGTTATTTATACTTATTCGAGAGATATATTTATGAAATGTGTGTTATTTATTGAGTAATTGTTTTATGAAGGTGACAGTTTTATGCTGTTAACTTTTTAAAACTTTTTATACCTTTTTATTCAACTTACTCTTTTTGAAATAAAACCACAGACATGTAATATTGGCATAATTATTGTAATTTTCAAAATCTACTTTGTTTATAGTTATTAGACAACACCCTTATATGGGTTTTTATCATTTCAGCATTTATTTAAGTTTGTATCGAGACCTGAAGATGCAAGGTCAAGAAGAAAGCGAAACCGGTCGTCTGATAGTTAAATTAAATTGATTGTGAGTAAGTCTTATTTATTATTTCTTTACCTATTTGAAATGAACTCACACAAGCAACACATTCATGATTCTTCATATTTCTCTTTGCAGACTGTAAAAATCATGTTATATTTCTTTGGAAAAGCGTTCTAAGTGATCTTTTTTTTTTGTTTCTTCCTGTTCTTCTTTCCTGTCCCTGCGGCGTAATTTTACATATTAAACTAATACATTTTAATATATATTTGTACCATTAGGATAAATAACTATTAGTATTTCTAATAATTATTAGTGGCACGTATTTATTTTTTAAATAGCTAGTGGCATCCTTTCCAAAAATATTAGGCAATGGATTAGGTAGTCTTTACTATGAGTGCATATCGCACTTTTAACCATACTTTTTAGTTCGAATGTTGACCAGCTATTATGACTTACCTTATCCAATTAAAAGCAGAACTAACACTTTATCTCAAAATAATAACAGCTTAGTTTATCTTAAAAACACTAATGTATAATTTAGCTTGTTTCAAACTCACCTCAAAGACTCTGATTAATGGATTCTTGAATTCGATTCGAATTGTTTTATCGCGATGATATTTCTATCCCATCCCGTGATACGAAGTAAGTAGTTGTAGTGTCTCATCCATCTCTTGTTATCGAAAGCCGCCATCCTTCATACCGCTTACCTTCATACCATTTACCATTGTGGAATGTTTGGGGTTACAGCCGACATTGCGTCTTCGCTCTCGGACCTCATCGATCAAAAACTACCAGCAGAAAGCTTGATATCGAACAGATAGTGGCTCGTATTTACGTGTAATATAAACTGTTTCCGACTGTACAATCAAGCAATGAATTTTTTTGTTTCAAAAAATGTGAATAAATATTTAAAGAAAAGTATTTGAAATATATCTTAGTAATTCGCTGTGGTATTCCGTTAGACCCAGTGTATTTTATAGATTAATTCTAGATGATTAATTACATTCCATTTGTAAAACAAAACGAAACTTAAATAGTAGACGAAAAAATATTTCAATGGTATATGTGTCCCACTTTTAGTATCCTATATAAAGTAATTGCATTCTAGTGTTGCGTTTCTCGCAACAATACATTGGCGTACAGGAAAGTTTTTACAGTAAGTCCGGTACTGTACAGAAACATGAAAGCAGGTGAGGCATAGTTCCTAAAATAACCTTCCCGAATATAACAAAAATTTTACTAAAATGATGTCATTTTCAGAGGTAATATGTTTCGTAAATTAACTGACCCTCAGTTTTTATCTCTAGATATAGACTATTTCAGCCGAAAGACTGTTACAGGCTAGAAAAATCAGGATAGGATCATTGAATTCTAAAAATTTTAAAGATAAGAGTATGTAGTTTGTAAATATGCTTAAAAGAAGAAGTGTACACATCGCTTGCATGCAAGAGACAAGGTGAAAAAGACAAAGGATACGAAAACAAGTTGAAGGATACAAATTGGGAAGAGTAGGAAAAAATACTACTAGAATTGGAGTTGGCTAATTGCTGATAGAGAAATGAAAGATAACGAAGTATAAGTTGTAAGAACTTCTTCTTCTTCTTCTTCTACTTCTTGTAGATCTTTCGATCTGTTTAATTCTGAAGCTGCCTCTGGTTAATTTCTTGGGAGGTAGATTGCCAACTATCCCTCCATCTTTTAGGTGGTCTTCCGGGGGGTCTTGAACCGTTCGGATTGTTTTTTAGGGCAATTTTTGGGAGTCTATTCTCATCCATTCGTCTTACATGGTTGTACCACATCCTCTTGCGCTGCCTTCCCCATCTTACAATATCTTGAATTTTGCACTGCTCTCTAATGTTTGTATTTCTCGCTCTGTCTCTTCTTGTTTTCCCCATTATAAGAACTAACTAAGAACTGTAAGAACTAACTAAACTAAATAAACTAACTAAATACATTTAGTTTTGTTGTATTTGCCAATGTATCATCATTCTTTAATTTTGTTTTGATTATATTTTTTAAAATCGAATGACAAATTTGTAAACTATTTATGTCTAAACTAAAATAATATTTGAATTAAATTCAATATTCAATACTTTATTAAAAAAATATGTATTTTTTATAAATGTGGTATTTTTATTTACAAATGGTTGTACAATATTAAATAAAAACTTTGACAAATCACTACAAAAAGAATTCATGGTAATACAAATAGATGTAATTGGTGTATGCGCTTTATGAACTTTTGGTACTCCATAAAAATGAGGTGTCCTGCTATATTGAGGTGTAATTTATCTTCTTGGATAATTTGTTAAATAATCTTTAAACTTAAATAAAGTTCTATATATCGACGGTCTCATTCTAATACCCCGTAAGTGAGTTAAGCGTAAGTTTACAGGAGAGACTTTTTTCTGTTTCTGCAAGTTAATACAGGTCCAAATTTAAAATGATTTTTAATTTTACGTATTTGGGGTATACTAATGGTCAACCATCCTTTGTTTTTAAATTTTTTTATATATTTATTATTATACAGCAGATACAGGCTATTGAAAGTGATTAGATACAAAAAAAATGAGATACGGGCTATTGCAGTGATCAATCGAGATTGGTTAAAGTAGTAGTAATATGAACTTACTTAAGTGATAGATGTTTGATAATGGACATGAAACTGATAAATAAACTAACAAATAAATAAACAATGTTTTTATTTCTTATTAAATAATAATAATAATGTTATAAAAATGCCACGGTGAAAGTATAATGAGTAAAAGAAAAAATTGCAACCAGTTAAATAAAAAATGAATGTTTAATAATACTTATAAACTGAACTGTTCCCCAAATTTATGGGGAGTGGGGTAAATTGTCATAAAATGCATGACAATCCTGAGGTAAAACAGACTTTATTTCTTGCAAATGTTGCCACTTTTTTTGTTTGATGCGAAGTCGATCTTTATGTAGTGAATCGTAAATAATACTTTTGGGATACTTTAGATATCTAGCTGGTAGTGGTTGTAGTTCATGACTAAAATCAATCTTATATTGAATATTTTTTTTGAGGTGGTCATATTTCAAGTGTCTCAAATCCGTGACAGTGGGATCATTTGATTTCTTGCCTGGACGAATGCTCTTGTAAATCCATGATTTTGAATTTGAGAAATCCTTGAAATACTCATGAGTTACAAAGAGAGCTTCCAACGGCATTGGTTTTTTCCTTGCTTCTTCTGTGAGTCGTACATAATCACTTGGTAGTACAATGAAACGGTTTTTCAATCTTCGTTCTATCACGGAGTGGACAGAGTCACACTCCATTTGGGTGTGCCCTTTTTCTAAATATTTTTGTTCTATCGTGACACCTTTCTGAATTGAATAATTTAGCAAAGCGTTTGAAAGCACACAATTCCTATTTTGGTAACAACATCCGTCAGAATATAAAACTATCGGAATGTCTTTGACGCACTTCTCTTGAATAAAGTTTAATATAAAAGTTGTAAAGCTGGAAGCAGATAAATCACCTTCTGACTCATCCCACCAGTAATTTGTACATTCGTGCGATGCCAAATTATAAATTGTAAAATTATGGACAGCGAGTTTGGTTTTGTAATAAAGCTTACTTGCGTTAATAACTGGACATATTTTAACTGCTTGCATGTCCATGCAAAAAGCATAGATAGAACCTTGAATGGCTAGCTGCTTGTCTGCGTCTTTTTCTTTTCTTGCTGCATTTTTTTTCTCAAGATGTATATGGTACAAATTTTCTTCAATGTTTTTCGTTTCGTAACCACAACAGATATCGCATCGATCTTTACGTGGTTTGTATAGTGAGATATTCATAACAGAAAAAATGTTATCAAATAATGTATTGCTTACTACTAAATTAACTTTCATGTTATCTTCGCAATATTTTCTATACTCTCGATATATATCCTGTTTGGTCTGGAAGAACTGCTCCAAATACAACTTTGAGGTTTCTCTTCTACAATAGTGCGAAGGCACCTTCGCTAAGTTGTTAAAAAATTCAATTAAATTTTCTCGTTTTAATTTATTACTATTTGAAATGCATCTTTGGTTAACGGCAGACGAGAATGAATTAAGCCCGTGTTCCATTCCTTTTAACCAATCGTGTACCATATCTTCTTTAAGACCAAGTGTACTCAAATACATCTTTTTGCATACTCTCAATTTGACATTGCCTTTATTCCTTAAATAGTAGTAATAAGTGCCTTGTCTTCTAGATACTTCGCCAACTGAACTTCTTTTCTTCGGTAAATATGCAATATTCGAAGTAGCGTATATTTTCTTTTCACTCCAATTCATATTTTTCCAAAAATTAATAAATATTAATTGACGTTCGTTTTCTGAAAATTCCGAACAATGTCTATTTTTTGCTTTCTTGCAGGCCTCTGATTCGCATGCTTGTGATAATTCTCTTTGCGGTCTTAAAATTCCTGCTTTTACTTCACCGGTAGTAGATCTTTGATAGCCGATGTATTGTTCGCCGCACATTCTTTTATTTTTTGTCACATTTCTTTTCCAACTTCCTGGGTTGAACCCTTTTCTTCTTTTTTTATTAATGGGAGAATTGGTCACTGAATTTTCACTTTCATTTTCATTTTCTTCTAAGTCACGGTGTCCTTCAATATATTCTATTTCATTTAGGTCATCTGCAACAACAAAAGACAAAATAAGCTTACATCTTTAGATAATAAAATTGTATTATGATGATAAAGAACGACAGAAAATAGAATAGAACGAATAGCAAGACACAAATCGCCAAATGAAAGAAGTTCATTGGGACGACCGCGGAAAAGATGATTAAACAACGTCAATTAAGGCTAAAACCGAAGTAAAACAGGTATTGGGCCTATTTATAAAGTAGAAAGAAGAAGAAGAAGAAAATAGTATGCCTACCTTGACAGTTTGATTCACCTTCGCATTCCTCTGGTCGTGTATGGTCTACAGATCCATTAATTTTCAGTGAATAGTTTCCTTCTAGATTTTGGTCTTCTATAACTAAATATCCATCACTGTTGTTGTTGGTTTTTTGCAGTATATTCGTATTATGCTTATTAGTGATTTCATTGATTTTATCTGGACTAAAATCATAACGTTGATCGATGATTTCAATTTGTATATTTTCGTGTGCTTGGTCATGTAAGATATTTTGGTCATTGTAAAATACAGGATCTAGAACACTGTAAGTTTTTTCGTCCATATTATATCTCGTAAGCTCCTGACAAGTATCATCTTGAATATGTAGAACAGAGTACTCCATATGACTTTTATTATTACTGTTTGTCGGAGTATCTAACGATTTATTAAGGTATGTATGAGAAGATTTATTTCTGTCTAGTTCACTATCATCTTGTAGATTGCAGTTAATATTGTAAATTGTAGATAAAACATCTTGTTCATTACTTTCTAAAGTTTCAGTGTTCATAGTCATCATAACCAATTTTTGTCCACGTGATATGCTTTGATTCTGAAAATAAAAAACAGCATGTTAATAACCCGTAACAAACAATTATTTATAAAGGTGTTTAAGTAATAACCTGTATCGTCTTTAATTGAAGAAATGTTATATTTTCTTATTAGTATTAAATAATTTATTGGTGCTGTTGCATTAAATCACCTTTAAAAACAAACAAAAAGCAGTTACTTACCAAAAATGATGCCATCGTTAAGGAAAAATCACGTCTTTACACCAATTTGACCGTAACCTAACAACATACATAAGAAACTAATAGGATACGGGTTATTTCACGGCGCCAAATGACTGCAGTAGATACGGCGTATTAGAAAGATGATATTCGAAGACCTTGCAATTTTATTTCAGATTCGGGATTTTGTAGACATATAGAACATTCCTTCTTTATCATTATGGCGTGAAAACCTAAAATTTGAATTTATTTTTTGTAGATACGGGGTATTAGAATGGGACCGTCGATATTCTATTTTTATTGACATTATGTGGTACTGATAATACCTATTTTTAATTATATACTGAATTGTCTAACAAAATATTGGTCTAGCAATGAGCATTTTAACTCCAGCATTAGCCAACATATTTATAAAAGATTTTGAAACAAATATTGACATTCAAAAGGCATTCAATCACGTCTGGTACACAGGCCTAATCGAAAAACTTGACCTTGCTGGGCCGCCCAGTCCTTTCGTTAAACTAATAAATCCTAAGTCCTATCCTAATAAATAAAGTCCTACCTCTCAAATCGGCCGATCAGGGTCAAAGTTAGTGACATTTTATCCACACCCTTTTACTCCACACGCTGGAGTACCCACTTTATAATATTGACATCCTTCGCTCACAGTATAGATCCAAAACCCTTCTTTTGAATAATAATAAGTATTTTTAAATCCGTAAAATAGTTTCGAAACCAATTTAGATTTCTGCTTTAATCTGAACCTTCTAAAAACTGCAAGGTATAACAGACGTTGATAAAGATGTTGAGTATTTTTAACTTTACAGAAGGAGGGGTTGATGCGGTGGATGAGTTGACAGAAAGTTACAGTGTAGCTCGTAATTGTAGAAGGTAGCCACTAAGAATATTTTTTTTTTACTAATGGACACAGCTGTAATCAACAGCCAGGTAATTTAGAAAACAAACACTAGTGAATATTCAAAGAAACGTCGTATATTCCTGGAAGATCTTTGATTAGCATTAGTTACGCCAATTATGGAAGAACGAAAAAGTAATCCGTGATTTACAAAACATTTACGATTTATCATAAATCAAGTTTTGAGAGAAAGTGACCACGCTCCACCAAAAAAGCAACGTACGGGCCGTGTACGGTGTCAAAAGTGTTCCAAAAAATCTGACCGGAAAACTAAAAAGACGTCCGATCAATGCCAAAATTTTTATTGTTTAGATCACCTTTATCACATTTGCGATGAATGTATCCAATTCCGGGACTCCTAACTTTTTTCAAGCTTGGATATCCAATGTCCTGCTTATTGATTTTTTTTTGAACCTTTTGAAAAAAACTTTTTTGGAAAATCTCTTATTTTGTGTCATTATCTTTTGTTTGTTAATTTTTTAGGTATCTAGTGTTTTTTGTTTGTAGGAATTTTATTATTTTGTAAATTTTACCCAATACGCGGTCAAATTTAATCCAGTGGTAAAAACTGCTGTTATTTATGAAAACTTAGATAGTCAAATAAGATATTTAACCCTGAACTACTATCGTGGGGTCAAATTTGACCCCAGGACTTGAAATTTCGTGCGCCACTGGTAGACAGTTTGGCAAACGACCTTGTTATTCTATGTATTCTCCCAATTAAGTACGTAGTTTAGCATGCCGCTTAGTAGCAAACGATCAGTGGGATAGTGCACACGTGCTGCTGAGTTCCGGTCGGATTTGACCCCACCATAGTAGTTACGTTATTATTATTTAAGATAATACATTAAAATGGCTTTAAGAATTAGCGGAAGTACGGTGACAAGTGAAAATGTTTTTGACTTTCTCGAATCTCTGGAGGAACCAACCGAAAATATTGACACTTATAGTGACTCTAATAACAGTGATACTGACACTGAAAGTGAACATTCGGTTCACGACACAGATTCAGAAATTGTCGTAAGTGACTTATCAAGCGACGAATGTGAAACAGCATATAATAATGAAACAAATTTTTACTATGGACGGAACAGATATAAGTGGGCTAAAAATGCTCCGGCCCCATCAAAAATTCACGCACAGAACATTATTACACACCTTCCTGGTCTTCGTGGACCTGCCTTAGAAACAAAACCATCCAGTCCACTTGAATCCTGGTCACTTCTTATAACTCCTGACATGTTGGCCTCTATTCTAGAGTACACAAATGAAAAAATTACCGAGCTCAGTGTAAATTATGGGGATACATGTATATTTGTCGATCATCTAAACGAAGGTGAACTTAAGGCTTTTTTGGGTCTTTTATACCTTTTAGGTGTACTTAAGTCTAATCATGAGAATGCCTATTCATTATTTTCGACAAGTGTTTTAGGTAGGCCAATTTTTCGTGCTACAATGTCAAAAGAACGCTTCTTATTTCTTCTCACAGCAATAAGATTTGACAATCATGAAATAAGAGAGCAAAAGAAGGCCAATGGAGATCGACTTGCAGCAGTGTCCTATTTATTTAAATATTTCGTATCTAATAGTACAGCAAACTAAATCTGTTCCGAATATGTTACAGTGGACGAGGTGTTGGTTGGGTTTAGAAGTAGATGTCCTTTCAGAATGTACATGAAAGCCAAACCAGTCAAGTACGGCATCAAGATCATGTGTTTATGTGACGCAAAAACACATTATTTGGTAAATGCTTTTGTGTATACGGGTAAAACAAATGATCCTAATGCCCAAAAGCTATCCATACCTACAAGATCAGTACTTGCTTTAGTGGAACCAATTGCCAATAGTAACCGAAATGTCACTGGTAATAATTGGTTCACCTCAATAGAGCTAGTTGATGAACTAAAAAAACTTCGACTTACCTATGTAGGTACAATGCGTAAAAATAAGAGAGAAATTCCTCCACAATTTCAACCAAATAAAAATTACGAAGTTGATAAGTGTTTATTTGGTTTTACACGAGACAATACAATGGTATCATATGTTCCTAAAAAAAATAAAAGTGTAATTATGTTGTCGTCTATGCATCACGACAAATCTGTTGACCAGGAAAGCAAAAAAACCTGATATAATAGCTTTCTACAATTCGTCGAAAGGGGGCGTTGATGCACTTGATCAAAAATGTGCACTTTATCGTTCAGGTCGAAGATGCCAGCGATGGCCTTTAGTAATTTGGTATTCCACAATGGATATTGCTATAGTAAACAGTCACATTATTTTTCACGCAGCTAATCCTGGGGTTAGAAAATATCGATCGGATTTTATTCAAGAGCTGGGAATCAGTCTTATAAATGAACATTTAGAAGTAAGATTTGCAATGCCAAATTTGTCAAGAGAATTACGCTCGATAATTTCCAAAGCATTAGAAAATAAAATTACTCATCAAGATCAGACCAAACCAGAAAGGCCAGTTGTAAGACGTAGATGCTACTTGTGTCCCAGAGGTAAGGATAACAAACATTCCACATTTTGCGCAGAATGTCATAGTACCATCTGCAAAACACATTCATTTCAGAGAGTTACCTGTACTATGTGCAAAGAATAGATAAACACTTACAATTTGTTCAAATATTTTTGTCGCAAGATTGTAACATTACGAAAAAAAACATGACTGTTATTTTTTTATATGGTTACTCTATTATGATTTTCTTTTGTATTAGGTTAAGACGTTACTATTATAAACTACTTTTCAGAAAATGAACCGTTAATTTCAATTTATTTTTATTTTAAGATATATTTTTTTGTTATAATAATGAGTTATGTTTTTGATCAAAATTTATTTTAAAAGTTCTATAATTTTTATTATAGCATCTTAATTTTCTTGAAATAAAATTTAAGTTTCCAAAAAATCTCTTTTTTATATACACATTCATTTATCAAAAATACAAAAACAATAAAAAATATATTTTTATATCTTGTTTAGAGGTTTTTAAAATTCGGGTCATCAATGACCCCACGATAGTAGTTAGGTGGGTGTAAATACACGATAGTAGCTCAGGGTTAAAAAAATTAATTCGTGTGCGAAATGTTTGTTGAGTTTTTTCAATCAATTTTAAATGGGGTAAATAATACCCCACTTGGGTTATTATACACACATTTTTCACCTCGGTGACGCACTGTAATACTTTCTCTAAACATTTAATAAAAGCCGAACTTAAATAATGATAAAAAAAAGATATAAGTTATGGTAAGCAGCTAATAATAAATCGAGAAAGATTATTAGGTAAATACCGTAAACATCGCAAGATTATAGAACTCTGCAAATGAAATTTGTCTACATTACTTAACACCTAAACCTAATCAAGGTTTATTTATTTTTATGTAAGACAATTATTACAGTATCAAAAATAAATCAATAATTTAAAATTATCTGTAAATAAAATTTGTATAAGAGTCATTCTTCTTCAATCGTCATTTGAAGTTGCCCGCTAAAATTTTATCTATATGTTACATTCAAAAAAATGAAGAGGTCGGCATCCAAAACCAGATTTTCGCTGCAGGAACCGTGTCCACATTCTCATTTATAACTGAATCACAATAAGCATTGTAAATTTAAATCGAGAATTATAGTCCTATATGAAAATAAACATTTTAAAATTATTAATCGCTATCAAATTCACACCCAATAAATTACCTGGTCGGTTTTTATTCAGTTGGTTTGTTATTGAGTTTTTTGACCTTAAACGATATATACGTGTGTTAAACGTGTTTAAAGCAAATTATTGATGTTACAGATATTGAATGTATAGGATTTTAATATTAGACCAGGGAATAACCAGATTTTTCAGTTTTCAGTGCAGAGCATTAACATTTTGAAAAAAAAAAAATAGGAATACAGCTCAACCGATATTACAGTAAAATAGTCGCTAATTATAAATTCTAATCATTAAATTATAAATAAAGAGCGTTTATAAATAATAGTAATGTTTATCTACATTATATAATATAAAACAATGTTATAATACAATAGTTAAATATAATAGAATTACAAATTAATTCGAAGTTAAATACTTTGTACAAACAACTAGTTAGCAAATAAACA